ATCACGCCCCCCCCCCCCCAGTCAAATTTTAAAAATAAATACTTTTAACAAATAAAATGAAATAATTAACTAAAAGTGGGAGCGGGTAGTATTTTGGGGTTTGCATATTGAACAGTGACCTCTGTTGGAGTTACTCAAGTCTGTTGTAGCACAAAACCCTCCATAGACAGTACGTAAAGAAATGACCAGGCTGTGTTCCAATAAAACTATTTGCTGAAAGAGAAATTGTGAAACACTGGGTCTACACCCAGAATTTGTCTGACCATGCTCTAGTTAATTGATTATTACGGGCATTTAAGCCATGTCTTCATGGTCATTTAAGGTCCATAATGCTGGCTCTACAGTTGTCTCTTTTTTTAGGCTTTTGCCATATGCTGCAGCTGCTTGCTAGAGAGGGGGCGGGGGAAGGAGGGGAAGTAAGAAATCATACATACACCCCCTCCCAGAGGAGGTGGCCATACTGCAATCTCGTCTCCATTCTGCTCTTGGGTCACATTCGGACCGCACCTTGTGTTTTTTTTTTTTTCAAGCCACTAGGTCTGGGACTCTTACTGCACAGTAGGCCATGTGGGATTTTGTACCTTGACCACTATGCTACCTGCTGACCTGCTCTTTATACTTTGTACAACTTAATCAATCCTTCTTTAATTTCTTTTCCTTCCGATTATAAAAGTGGGGAAAATTTGACAGTTACCAAGAAGTTTAAAGGAAGTGGCCTGCAGGTGGCATGATGGTTAAGGCTCTGGACTCCTACATGGCCTACTGCTGTTCGAGTCCCAGACTTGGTGGCTTGAAAATCATGCCAGGTGTGTGTACCTGTGTGCTCAAGGTTCTGAGAGAATGAAGGAGACGGGATCATAGCATCCCTACTAGTGGATGGATGATTCCTCACTTTCCCTCTCTTTGGTGAGTGTATAAGTATAAGCCCTATGGCAGAAACTTTAAAAAAAAAAAAAGAAAGAAAGAGAGAGAGAGGTTTAAAGGAAAATAATTCTTTAGTTATCTTATTTTTAGCATATTCTCGTCCAGTCCTTTAGTTTTTCGAGACTTTTCTTATGGGAAGGCCATTGATTAAAATGAAAGCAGCCATAACGCATGCAACCTGAGGGAAAATACTGTTTTCTCTGTCCATTCCATACCCTTTGCAATTGTCCTCTCCCCAACAAGCACATGCAATTTTGTTTGTTTCATTTGGGAGATAACTTTTAGCTCACAAGAATTTGTTAGAAACTGCCATACCATTTTAGTAGAGATAATTTTTTGTTTATTGATTTTCTTCTAAAGATAAGTGAAGACTTTGAAAAGAATTACTGTTTCTCTTATACCAACTTGTTTTTTTCTAACACTGTTTCTTCAGATGTTAATATTATAGGGTAAACAGGCCAGGTAAATTAGCAGTGTTTAGGACATTTGACCTTACCCTTGATTGTGTAACTTGGTTTTTATTGTACTTTTTTTCTCCCCCAGAGTTCCGTTCTGGAAAAGCTCCCATCCTCATTGCCACAGATGTAGCCTCCCGAGGGCTAGGTTTGTATAGATGGGTGTCTCTTGTCAATGGTGTATGTACCTTTTGGTTTAAAGGTGTGTTTGTCATTTCCAGTTTAGAGTTGTATATATGTGTGTTTAGATAGATAATTAAAAGAGAGGAGTACAAAGGGTTTTTTTTTTTTTTTCCTTTTCCCCATTCATGATTTTTTTAACCTTCATATTTTGTTTTATTTTCAAAGTCTCTTCCTGCTCCTAACAAACAGGCTTTGGTCTGCAGCAAGGCCTAGGCATGACTATTTAGTTGGAGGGTGAGGAGACATTTGGTTGAACAACTCGACTTCTTCCTTGTTTTGTTCTGTTTTCTGGCTGGATAGAATAAGCCTTATTGAGTCTAGCTATTGTAAACTAGTTTCTTCGGTTACTCTTCCCTACACTAGTCTTACCTGCTAGGGAGGTCCAGTTCCAAATGCTTATTGAATAGGATTTAACAAATCTCTAAGATGATGCAATTTGCTGAATCTGTATTGCCCTATTTTATTTATTGAAGTAAAATATCATGGGCACTCAGTTACCCTTTCTCCTATTCATAGATGGATTAGCCCGTTTTAAAAGCTTAATTTGAAGAAGATGATGTTCTGGAGTTTCTACCCATCATGATTTATGATTTATCCAGATATTTTGTGGTTCTTTGCCCATCATTCTAGCTAATAATAAACAGATTTAACTCAAAACTTTTATATTTTCTTTAAAAGTAAGATTTCTATCACAAGGAAATCTTTAAATTGTTGACAGGTGTTTAGGTTTTTGCCCAGTAAGCAGTATGAAGATACCAAGTGTTAAAACTGGAATACAAAAATGATGAAGCCTTTTTATCCATTGCCTCCTCATTCCCTCCTTCAGAGGTAGTAACTTGCAGCCATGAGGGAAGGTTGTCTCTGCCCTCTGAGGTCATGTCTGGATCTGTGCCGTTAGAACTTGGGCCTGTTGGGAGAGAAGGCGGAGGCCTGAAAGCAGTTTCCATAAAAGCTTTCAGAAATGGTCGTTTTTAAACAGGCTTGCTATGTGCTGGTAGCTTCTTTGTGCATCTTGCCTAGACAATTAAACTATTTGTTCCATGTCCCCCTATCAACCAAATCAATTGGCTGCCATTAGAAAGAATAACTTAGACTCTTCATCCCACCCCCACTCACCCACGTGGGGGAAAGGGAAGGTACCTGAGTCTGTTTCTTGTTACTCAACTTCAGTGCTTGTTTTGGGCCCCTTTGTTTGCTGCCTTGTAAAAATCAAAAGGAGGGAGAAAACCCACCAAAATGGCAGAATTCTGACCAAGGTCCTACAAGATCCTGGAAAGTGAAGGCTTCTACCTCATAGACAGGGGTGCAATTTTCAGCTGAGTCACCAGGCCTTTTTTCACTTCCTTCAAGCGATGGTCTCTTAAATGTTCCCTTCAGGTAAGTTCTTTGATTCCCGTAATTTTATAATAGTCATCCTAAGGCAACCACTATTCCCTTTCCACTGGGATACTTTTTTTATTTTTCCTTTTTTGGTTTGAACTACACACTGTTAAACTAAAAGTATTGAATTTATTTTGTTTTGTTTTTTAACAGAAGCTTTGATATCAGCTGCAGATCACTCAGTACATGGCCGAGGCAAATCTACATTGGCCCGAAGCAGCTTTAGATGAGCCTGTTGGCAATTCGTAGGCCCTCCTAATTAGTGATTGGAGACTCAGGCCATGTCCTAGGGCTTTTCAGACAAAAGGTTCTTAACCCAGGCAGCTGGCCAAAACATTAACTTTTCGATTTCTTACCCGCTTACAGCATCTTCTATAAAGGCAACGAGATAATATTGTGGCAGTGCACAAATAACATCAGGGCAGGCTTGACGGGAGAAAACCAAATTCTGCGCTTACTCTTGTATGCCCTCAGCTATGTGTGTGCACACACAGGACACCTTGCTAGTACGAAGAACTTGCACCATGTCTGTCCCCACTGAACCCCTCCAAAAATACTCCCAAGTATTAGTGTCTGAACTGATGACTCCAGCCCCCAGTGCTTTCTGCCAGGAAAGCACTCTTCTGTGCACCCAGCACAGTAATTCACCTTGCTCTGCTGCCCATGGGCACACACAGTGGGACTGACTGAGGAGCATTATCTGAACTCTGAAGATGTGGTCTTGGAGTGTAATTCCTCATCCCCCTCCCCACCCCCATCTCACATCCATCTTGGCCCTGTACATTTTTTCCTTTGTTGCATCAAGACCCTAGCCGGAGACTCACGCTGCCCCCTGTGATAAGTGCCTTCTCGTCTTTCTGGTGTGATTCAGGACTTTAGGGGTCAGTAAAGACCGAGGAGCCTTTATTGTAATAAGAAACAGACATAATGCCCCTTCTTCACAAGCCCTGTAACAACAGTGAATTTTTTTTTTTTTTCCAATCATCTCCCCTTTACCCCTGAAATTAATCCAGTCTGGGCAATAGATGCAGTCTGACCCTTTGGATGTAACTTACTTTTTTTTATTAATCATTTTTTTCTACAATCACCCCAATAATCCTTGGGGGAGGCGTTGGAGGACCTGAAATTTTTACCCGAACCCAGGTTCTCCGGCGCTTGGCAACCAAATGGGGCTACAGAGAAGCATCTAAGCCAGTTCACAGAGCGAGCGTGTGTGGGGACTTCTCACTGCCACGGACCCTTGATGCATGCTCCCCGCGCTCCAGTGGTCCCGTGTCAGAAGGCGGAGTTTTCGAAAGGAGGCCGCCAAAAATAAAAGGCAAAGAGACGGGATCGGCTGCAGCGGTTTCCCAAAGGAGGAGGGAGTGTGCATCGGTCTGGTAACAAACAGAGAATGTTTTTTAATTATTTATATCACAAAAATCTGTGTTTTATCTAGGATATTTTCTGAATATTCTTTGTAAAATGCAGATTTTTTCCACAAAACATTAGGATTCTTTGTTATATTAAATTTGTTTGTTTAAGTAGGTTAAAAAATAAACATGTAGTTGAAAGCATTACACTAACATTTACATATGTTAAGAATTAGGTTATTCAGCCCAATTCCCAGCAGTGGACAGAATTTTAAACTTATTTCTCAAGGTTTCATGGTTTTTCCCACATTTGTTGGCTATTTATTTAATTTCCTAGGTCACATAGACAATCTTTGATCATTAAAACAAGTTCTGTGTTTGAAATAACCTTGAGTGAAAAATGTCATTTGGCAGAAGCTGGGCTTGGTAGTACAGTGAAATTTTAGTGTAATGTGCTCTTACGGTAATTGAAAGGAGAAAGATAATGTTTCTGCATAAGGAAATAGGTATATGCATTATATCTTTGACTCTGATTAGTTTTAAAATATGAGAGCAAAGAATTAACTTAAATGTTTTGCTAAAGTTATGGAAATGTTGTAGTAGAGTATATGAAGCTCCTTTTTTTCATTTTGCTCTGTGACTGGTTTAAAGGTAAGTTTGCTACATTGTTTGTAGATTTTGCCAGGCTTCTCCCAACAGAGTAGAAGTGATTTGACTGTGTAACTTAACAGTGGTTACTGCTTTCTTTGACATCCCAGTTTTGAAAAGAATAGTACTGGGATTACCAGTCTGCGGAACAATCGTGGTGTAACTCCTGTCACTATATTGGTTAAACCACAGGAAGGGTCAGGAGTTTGGGTGTTCGGGTGGGATTTCCTTAGGATTTTACAGCCAGTAAGATGCCACTTCCATGCATGTCCCAAGATTCACTAATCCTCTTTTACTCTGTTGGGATGAGTCTCTTTTTTGTTCCTGTTCAGAGTGGTTGCTAACTTCATCTTCTCTCCTCTTGCTGTCATCTGCATTCGTGCTTCCCACCTGTTGTCTGCATGTCCTTTCCCTTCTCTTCCCCTGCCACATCAACCTACACACTTGACTCATCGTCGGCTTTGAAGATGTGGAAGATGTCAAGTTTGTGATCAACTATGACTATCCAAACAGCTCAGAGGATTACGTGCACCGGATTGGTCGAACAGCCCGTAGCACCAACAAGGGCACCGCCTATACCTTCTTCACCCCAGGGAACCTAAAGCAGGCCAGAGAGCTGATCAAAGTGCTGGAGGAAGCTAATCAGGCTATTAATCCAAAACTGATGCAGCTAGTGGACCACAGAGGAGGCGGCGGCGGAGGGGGTAAGGGTAAGTCCTGGAGTTTTCCAGGTACTGCCAAGGTATCTTTCTACATTCATTATGGTTTTTTGTTTTAATCTCTGAAGGCTATAAGTGCATTGCATAATAACAAAGGACAGTGCTGACTAGTTTTCATACCCCTTCTAAGTAAGGAAATGGGAAGTTTGTCAGAACTGTCCTACTTTCGCAGCATAATATTTCATAATTTTACAGTTAATTAAGAATTAAAATTATGGTTGCTTTTTAATACCCTTAAAATGCTTAGGTGGTATAGTTGGTTTTCAGCTTTCCATCTGGAGAGATAAGCGATTTTAGACTATTTCATGGTAGTGGAAATTGAGACATAGTGGTTGAATCTATGTGGTTACAGAATGCACTAGAATCTAGGCTTCCTGGTTTGATATTCTAAGATTATGCTTCATGGTTATCCTCAAGGATAATCCTCAAAAGGCAAAAGGTTTAGCGCCTTGTAATGTTTGTCGTGCTTCTAAATAAGCCTCGTTAAAGAATTAAATTATGTGGACCTGCAGGTAGCATAGTGGTTAAGGTGCTGGACTCCCACATGGGTGACCATGGTTCGGGTCCTGGACATGGAGGCTTGAAACTCACACTTGGGCATATGTGCCCAAAATTCCAGGAGGAAAAGGGATTGTGATGTGGCCATCCCCCCTGGGGGGTGATTTCTCACTTTCTCTCCTCTGTTTCTCTGGCAAGTGTACACACACTATAGCAAAAATCTTTCTCTTAAAAAAATTAAATTATGGGTGGGTATATTGAAGTACTGCTTTGGGAGCTGGCCTAGCTAAAGATCAAGGAAACTATTAAATAATTTTGTGCCCGTTTTTAGAAGCTATTATGTTTGGATCATACATCTTTTGTTTAAGAATTTCCTTATATCCTCCCATCAGGAGGTCGTTCTCGATACCGGACCACTTCTTCAGCCAACAATCCCAATCTGATGTATCAGGATGAATGTGACCGGAGGCTTCGAGGAGTCAAGGATGGTGGCCGGAGAGACTCTGCAAGCTATCGGGATCGTAGTGAAACCGATAGAGCCGGTTATGCTAATGGCAGTGGCTATGGAAGTCCAAATTCGGCTTTTGGAGCACAAGCAGGCCAATACACTTATGGTCAAGGCACCTATGGGGCAGCTGCTTATGGCACCAGTGGCTATACTGCCCAAGAATATGGTGCTGGTACTTACGGAGCTAGTAGCACCACCTCAACTGGGAGAAGTTCACAGAGCTCTAGCCAGCAGTTTAGTGCGTTAGGTCGGTCTGGGCAACAGCCACAGCCACTGATGTCACAACAGTTTGCGCAGCCTCCAGGAGCTACCAATATGATAGGTTACATGGGGCAGACTGCCTACCAATACCCTCCTCCTCCTCCCCCCCCTCCCCCATCACGTAAATGAAACCACGCAAGTGGTAGTGACTTAAGCAGACTTTACATTTAAAGGAACGCTGTCTTTTTTTTTTTTTTTTCCCCTTTTCTTTTTCCTTTTTCTTTTTCCCCAACCATTGTGATTTGTCTTTTCATGCAGATTAGTTAGAATTCACTGCCAGGTTTCTTCTGCCCGCCAAAATGATCCAGTCTGTAATAACAGATTTTGTAAAAATATATATATAAATAACCGACTGGAAGAGATTAATTTCTTCCCCCAACTTCTTGCATGTTGAGGATATTTGAGCTATTTTTCACCCTAAGATGTATTAGACCCCCTTTTTGGGAGCCCATTTTTTTTGTTGTCCTGAGTTGGTGGGAGGGAAGGGCTGAAGAAGGAAGATGGCATCTGTGCTTTAAATTGCCCTCATTGCTGGGTTAGAAATCCAAGAGGGATTATCTCCCTGCACATCTTCCAAAATGCTTTTTAATGTTTCTCACATTGGAACAGGTTTCCTTTGGCCTGATGACTTTTTAAGACATTGTTTTTGCCACTGGCATTTTGGCTGATTTCTCAAGTGTGTTTGACAGTTTAAAATTTCTAATTGGTTTAGTCTCCTTTATACTGCCTTCTCCCCTGTCCCTTCCCAGTTACTGAGAGAGAACCATTTTAGTGTCAAGTTAGAAATGGAACTGGTGAGTCTGAGTCTATCTTTTAAATGAACCACAGGCATTTATTGCAGTGGTTAAACTTGCAGCATTTCAGCAACTGGGTGGTTAGCTGCCTGTTTTTCTTCCCCATCTAACCAGGGACCATCTGTGAAATTTCATCTTCCAGCCAGAGAACTGCTGTGAGTAGATGAATATAACAGTTCACTGGAAATTGACTATTAACTAGTGGAGTCCATGCATTTACCTGCAGTGTAAAAGCACACTTAATTATAAACAAAAACAAAACATACTTAAGATGGGCAAATTTTCTTTTTAATTCAGTATTTGTAAAGCTAGGATACAAGCAACTCTTTGCTGGCTATGCTGCTCTTTTGGCCAAATTATTTTGAACAAAGGATCTTAAAAGTTATTAAGAACTCTCTTTCTCTTCATGCTCTGTTCTCTGCAGTGCTTTGTAACAGCTCTGGATGCACACTTTCCTCCGCATCCTTTTGCACTCAGCTTTTACAGGTAGGTAGTGCTTAAGAAAAGTTATGGAGGACTAAAGGTAACTAGGGTAACTTCCTCCATCTGAAGGTAGGTGAGTCTCTCCCTTTCATAATGATGCTATTTAACTACTACTTTAGCAGATAGGCCTGGAGAAAAAATTCTGCTTTGTGTTCCCTGTAACAGGGTAGGTCAGACAGCCTCAGAAATCTTTCAGATCCAGTGTGGGACTACTTGTTATTCATGCTGTTGGCAATATTGTTCATTCACAATAGAGTTACAGGGGGAAGGCTCCACTGTATTCTTTGGCTCTGGCCTGAGAATGCTTACCTAAATACCTACGTATGTGAGGTTTTTTGGTTTATTTTCCTTTTAAAATTCTTCAGGGAAAGAGAAGGGATGATTCTGAGGGGTTCTGAAAGTATGATTCAGTGTGCAACATACAGGTAGGTTATCAGCATAAGGTGAAAAATATGCATGTAAAAACTTGGACATCCTTTTTTATTTTCCACTTTCTTCCTTAACTTTACTTCTCTTTTTGTCCCATCTTACAGAAGTTGAGGCCAAGGGAGGATGGTAGGCACAGAATAAATGTGGCCAACTGTTCTGTGCTTTCAAACCAAAGTGCCCTCCCCCCCCCAGTCCCCTTCCCTAATTTGTCTAAGCACTGACCAGTTCAATATGGATGTTTATTTCTACAACGAAATTCTAATTTTTTCCAGAGGTTCCACCTAAGGGGTATCCTACTCTCCTGTAGGTCATAAAAGCATCCATTTGGAGGAAAGGTTTCTCTCTGGGCAGATAAGCAGTATTTGGATTGCTTGCTTTCCTTTTATCACCAGGGGCATTATGATTATAAAATCAAAATAACAGCGAATTCCAACTCTCAGAGAAGCTATTGTGGCCTGAGCATAGCTGAAATTAGCAGTTTTTCCTTAATGGTTCTAGGGTAACTTTTGTCTCCATGGCTGTCACTCATAATCAGGTTCTATTGTTACTTCAAAACATGAGCAGAAGAATCCTCATTTGATGCTAGTTTCTGCATTCATGGATGAAACTCAAAAGGGTTTCAGTATTAACCTATGGGCTGCTTCTCCCCAGTCCTTCCCTAACATTCATTGTGTGGACTTCTCATCTAAAAGGTTGGTGGCTTTTGCTTGGGATCAGTGCTCTTTATTCATGTCCTTGCTGGTCTATGAACACATTCCTGTTGCGTTGAGACTTGAAAGAAATGTAGAAGTGTGATGTTCAGGCCCAGGATGCTCAGAGCTATGTTACTATTCTTAGTTTGTAAATTGTCCTTTTGATACCATCTTGTTTTCTTTTGTAGGTATAAATAAAAACTGTTGACAATAAGATGTGAACTTTTTATTATTTCAAAGTTCTCCTAGTAGTTCAATGATAGTCTTCATACAATAGTTTTTATTTACTTTAAGACAAAGGTTGGGGATGTGGGATCACTACTCAATTTAGCACCTAAAATTGAAAGGAAGACAGGATTGATTGGTCTGAGTGCAAGAATTTGAGTCATAGAACCAGGCAGGATACTCGGTAGGTAAAGGCTTTGGGTATCTGCTCATCAGTAAAATGGTGACCATGCTAATGGTTTGGTGCTAATTGGGATCTGAGTGCAGATCAGATCAGACTGAGGTCTTTCCTGCACATAGATCCCAGTGAGCCAGTGTTAAAGATGGGGGGTACAGCTATTTGACTCTAGGGCAGGCTTTATGGTATGCCATGGTAGTTAAGGCAGTGGGATGCCGTATAGCCTACTGAATAGTTTGAATCCCAGCTCCAGTGGCCAGGGAGGTATACATGCATGGCCAAAATCCTGACAAGGTGGAGAAATGGAGAGGAGGGGATTACGGTATATCACCATGACCCACTGTGGGGAGCTTTCTCTGGAAAGCACATGTATTGTTTGGCAAATAAAAGAATTACTACCAAACTCCAACCAAAACTGTCCAGTTTAGTTTGTGGCTTGAAGGCAGTGTGGAAGTGAATATTTCCCACACCCAGCCATCACCTTTCATGTCTTGACTACTTAAACCTTGATCGTCTACCTGGAAAGTGCAGATCAGGACAAAGGCATCGGTTTCCACTGCTCTTTAAGTGTGGCATCTTTATACACAGAGGTATACTCTAGATTGGGGTTGGCTGCTTTAGCATGAGTCTGAAACTAGGATCTTAGAGAGCAAACAAAATTTGGATGTTAAGATTTCTTGTTTCAGTTGACATTGTGAAGCTCCATACTTGGGCAGTAGGCCCAGGTTTTTCATTACCTCTATATCAGTGCTTTGCTGAAATCTGTATTAAGCATTTTTCTGACTTTCTGATTTAATCCTAAGTCATAGTTGCCAAGGAAGACATTCAGAATGATTTGCTCATATCTTTGTAGACCGTCTCTGAGGGCTGTCAAATTGGTACCGGAAGACTTAACTTCTTTCCTTTAAGGACTGGAAGAAAATAGAGATGAAGTTAGATTTTGCCATACCAATGAGAACTGCTTTTTTAACTGTACACTTTGTATCCGTTAATCCCTAGGCTCAGTCAGCCCATGGGTTTTTTTAAGTGACCCCTCTGTTAACTGCCCTCGGCAATAGAATGCAAACCCAAACCTCTTTTTATAATTTTTCTTAAAATTTTACTATTTTGGGAGGAGCCAGCAGGTGGCGTGGTGGAAAAGATTTTTACTATTTTTAAATTTGCTGTAGGGTACACATGCTCACCACGTAGCAGCAGAGAAAAGGAGAAAATGAAGCAAGCGACCAGGTCTGGGACTTGAACTGTGGTTGGCCATGTTGGAGACAAGCACCTCAACCACCATGCCACCTGCTGGCCCCTTTATAATTTTTAAAAACTTTCATTATTTCATAACTTGAAACCCAAACCTCTTCTGGCTTTTGAGCCCTGTGAACTGGTCTTGCCTGACCTGAAACTTTATGGAGAGTGATCACATCTGTTTTCCCCCATTATCTCCCCAAGCAGATTCCTGCCTAAGCTCTGGACTATTTTCTGTTTTTTCTTAACCATGTATGTCAAATACCACTTCAAAGCTGTCCTGCCTCTACACAGTATATATTACACATGTTACTGTTATTTTTTCCATGGTACTTTCTGACCTTTCTCTTCCTCATCTTGGAACCTAAATTCCATGAAGGATAGAGACTTGTTCACCTACATACCCATTCAAGTATTTAAAAAATCATGTCAGAGGGTACGTATGTGCATGCATGGGAAAGCCCACACGTGCTGCAGTCCCCCCTTCCTACCCTGTATCCTGTCAGGATCCTGGGGCTCCAACCCTGGTTGGCTACATGGGACCCAGCCTCTGCACAGTGCTCTGCCGCTCTGCCTTGCTATGAGGCTGACCCTGCTCCAAGTGTTTATTGAATGGATGAGTAACGCTTTGGACCAGTGCCAGTAACAGTCCTGTTCTCTCAGCACCTACCTTTGGTCACATATAAGTAGAAAAAGTCACAGTAGAAGATGGTTTGTACTACTCCCGATACCACTGCAATTTGGTCATAGAAATTTTCAGTCTGGTATCTCCTGATCCAGTTAGCCAGATAGAGTGCCCGGTAAAGACCCAGGAAGAACAGGTAGTGTGTGGTGATGGTCTCAGCCTCTCCGGTCTTGCTGATCATGAAGAGCTGGGGCAAGATGGCCACTGACTCCAGGTAAATGGAGAAAGTCCAGAGGATCTGAGAGAGAACAGAGGCTGAGCAAGACTGAGATGGAAGAGACCCCTCTAAACAAGCATAGTTACTAAATACGTGTACTGAGCAGGACAGAAGTCACCCATTCTCTCAGGATTTGGGGCTAGTGTACACACATACCTGGTGTGCTTTTCAAGCCACTAGTCTGGGACAAACCACAAAATTGATCATCAGAGAGAACCACAATTCCACCTGATTGGCCCAGATTTTTAGATTACATATTTTAAGATTCAAGTATGCATACCACTTTTTCCACACCATATTCTGAGCATTTCTATTGAACATTTTTTTAAAAAAAAATTTAATTGCCAGAAGGGGCATGTGCTTATCAGAAAGACGGGGAAGGAGAAAGCACCCCACAGTGGCATGAGTTCATGCTGGAATCTCTTCATTTCTCCATCCCGTTAGGATTTGGGGCATGTACATACACAGGTCTGGTGTGGCTTTAAGGCCAGCAGGTCTAGGATTTGAATCACTTGGTCAGCCATGTGGGATCTGGCTCCATTAGCCATTAGGCCACAGCAGGACTGGCCTCAAACATATTTAAATGTTGCAGAATTTTGTTGTATAAACTCGGCATGATTAAAACCACAGCTTTTTCCAAACAATGTACACACCAGCATGAGAATCTCAATAGCTGATGTCCACAGATTTGTAAGCCACAGCCCAGACCTGAGCTTAAAATCTCTGGGCCTGGGGCCACTCAATGGAGTGGTGGTTAAGGCAGCTGGATCCCATGTGGCTGACTGCAGTTTGAGTCTTGGACCTCAGCTTGAAAATCACACTGGGATCATGGCATGTACATGCATGCCCCAAATCCTGAGAATGGAGAAGGGAGTGCAGCATGGCCATCTCCCCAGGGGAGCGCTTGTGCTATAACAAAAGTAATAGAAAACCAAAAAAAAAAAAAAAAATCTCAGCCTGGGCTATATTCTAGGGGCGTGCTAAACAACTGCTGGACACAAGGTCTCATCAGGCAGGATGGTTCTGTTTGGTTTATGAACATGACTGCTTAGATGTGCCGTTGTCAAGCAGAGAATTGTGAATGGTTTGCCAATTTGTCCTAACTTCAGATTGGATGG